GACACTTGCGGTCGTTGCTGTCGGTCCGACAGCAACGATCATTGCTGTCAGACGACCGACTATGCGTGCGGCCTGAGGGTAGTATGAGATGCAAATTTCAGAAGTATGAGGGAAAAGGGGTGTTCAATCACAACACTGAGAATAGGAGCTTCTTTCAAGAGCAGAGAATCGTCAAAGGTCTATTTTTGAGCTTTACGTGGATTAGTTTCAGAAGCGAGACTTGCGCAAGCATGTGTGCTTCGTTTATCCCAAGTTCCCCTCCCTAAAGGATGATAGCGAGTTCAAAAACTGCCATGGACCTCATAATTATAAGATGCTTTGTTACTAATGAAATACAAATGCACAGCCAAAAAACTGCCTGAATATTCATCTGCGTAGCTTTCATTGCATGAAAAAAAATAAACCGCTGGCATTACATCCATATCGAGACTTTTCTCAGTGCTAAGTCCCACGAATGAACCTCTCGTTTGAGCGAAATGGTGAATGAACTAGACGAGATTTGAAGGAAAAATGAGCTTAGCATCACGTGAATTCGAAATGGAACCAAGCAGAAGCAGTTACCTGGAAGGAAGCGATTCAGTTGCCTAGAAACCGACGCACTCGAGTCGTTGAGAACATCTATTATTGCGTTGGCAACGTCCGAAACTGCAAACGTGAAAATAAGCAATAAAGATCTAAATGTGTAAGAAGAATGTGAGTCCTTAAAATATTAATTATTAGCTGTTTTCAAAAACTTTCAATAAAAGTGGTGCAAAAGCACGGTAATGAAAAACCACGATGAGATGCTTCCTCTTAGGACGTTTTGAGTCGTTCGTAATCAAATTTTTTTATAATCACACATAATTTTATACATTTAGATCAACATAAGACTCCAGAACAGAACAATATTGAGTAACGAAAAATTTAATAAAAGAACGATCAAGTATTGCGATTTACTAATTGTTTTCAACACAATCGAGTCTCTCTTAGAATTGGATCATACTTTGCAATCCCGCGTTTTTAAGTGCAGTAGACATACGATTGTGACATGGCCCTCGAGCTGCAAACCTAACTGCAAAAGTATGATCCGAAGATTGAGGAAGTTAGGCCGCGTTCATGGTTAGTAGCATCGAGGAGAATAGGGAGTAGTATACTAAGGTTGCAGGAGAGTAGGACAGTGCGCTGACAAAATCAATATGTGTATATGCTATCAATTGGGATCGCCGAAAAGTAGTAGATTACGATATTAGGATAGTAATAGACTTGAATGTAATCACTACTCTCCAGCGATTCCAATCGATAAGTATAATCTTGTCAGCGCAATCTCCTACTCTACTACTATCCTAACATCCTGTCGCCTACTATCCTCATCTCCCAAGTCGCGAACTATGAACGTGGCCTTAGTTAGTCATACGGTCGTAACGATCCTGACGATCGTACAGCATCAGATACATATGGATCGCCCCATGAATCAGAGGTGTCCGACAATGTCTACGTATCTGAAGCTGTGGGGGGAAGGGGTAGGGACATTCAAGCGAGTGAGCTGCTCAGAGTACCTTGGATTAGGCTTTAGGGAGAGAAAGGGATTCTGGAAGAACAGGTCAGCAATTTTTGTTCGCCCTGGCGTTCCTTCTCTCGGCGCAATGTGGCTCGGGGGGGGGGGGGGCGCGCGCGCGTGCGGCAACAGGAAATTCGTGAGCCAGGGGGAATGTAGCCAATTCAGGGGGGTGGGGGTGAGGGCAGTCACTTAGCATGCGTGAGAAGCTGGAATGTTCCGTGAGAAGCTGGAATGTTCGAGTTACACTACATCGCTGAGCCGCGCGGCGACTGCCCCCCCCCCCCGAGCCACATTGCGCCCTTCCCTCTATTGGGCTTGTCCTAGTGTCGACTTCACTGGTTTTCGAACGCCCTGTTTTAATGTTCCCCCATCCTTCCTCCCCCCCCCCCTTAAAGGAAGCGATTACGATAAGGAATTTTCGCATCGGGGGAGAACCTGCGCCACACGGAGCAATTACTTGGCTGCCAAGGAAGCGATGTGTGGCGCTTCCACGGCGAAAGGTGCTGTGGTTGCTGAGCAGGACCTCCGCAGCACTCCGCCTCCAGCAGCGTTACGCCCACTTGTTCAGATGATGACTGTTGCTGTTGGCTTTTCATTTTGGGGATCATTTCCCTTCTAGCGGCTGTATCTTCCAACTTGCCCACGTATTGCCTTATCAATCAAAACACTATGCTTGTTGGCATGATGGCGGCTATCGGGGTTAACACGTCCGAACGTCATTCTTTACCGTCGCTCATCCATGGTCGAAAATGAAAGGGCAATCAAAGGGGTACTATTTTGCTTATTTTTGACGGATTTCTTTGCTTTTTTCGCCATTGGCGTACTATTGAGACCCCCACGTCCCCTCTAAACCCTTTGAAATCTATCGTAATCGCTGCCTTTAAGTAAGTACTCACTTTTCAATGGTAATTATTTGGTCGTCCATCCATTTTCTTCTATTTCTGAGGCTTCTTAAAGCTTATAAATTACATCTGCTAAATTGATAATGTACTATACTGTATGTATCTGCTGACCAAGGCGAAATTTCGTACCGTGACCGTGCAGGAAACACCCCAATAAGAAGCTCGTCGCGAATATCAGAAAAACAAAAGATCCTTATTTTTAAAGCAATGATTAAATAATGAAAAAGGCTCACTTGGTTTAATAACCAATTTTGGCAGTAAGGAAGCCGCCGATCTCCTCGACTCCCGCTCTGCACCACAAGCAGCACATAAAGTGTTAGCATTTGAATTCACTAGTGTACAATATTGACATGACCATGATGACATCCAGTAGAATACTGAAAATGCATAAGTTTGAGTTGCTATAAATAGCTGCGGTAACAGTAACACAAACGAGACAACCACTGTTCATACGGTTTGAAGTAACAAGGTAGCCATATGAGTCATTCCTACACAAGCTGGAACTTGCCCGTCATTCGCGATAAACACTGGTGCTATCCTAGTTTGGTTGGGGGGGGGGCCACCCATCGCGAGCGGCGCGGCGCTCCTTGCAGGCTTAGCGGATGCAGATTTGCGACTAGCGCAGTCGCCGGTCGCGTAGCGGCACCAGCAACGAGTGATTCACCTAGCGCGCGACGCGACCGCAGACGCTAGCGAATC